AGTACATAGCTCAAGTGAACATATCGATAGATTCTGTCATGGATACTGTATATGGGTTTCAACGGGAAACCATCATCTTTTAATGTTTTTTAAGAAGCTGCAATTAAACCGAAAGTATATGACTTGGGTTCAGTAAATATATAAACCACTTTTGAATGGTCAATATAGAACCTTTACAGTACCTTATATTATCTCATGTGTAAATACTACAACAATTAGTATATCTGGTAAACATATAATAGATATTTGTAAAAGTACTATGTACATATCTATATTGGTATCTACTTATTCTAGTATCAATTTGTATCTACATCTACAATGTATTGATATATGTTTTTACCTGTTCATATTTCATCTTTATTCTTCTATGTGTATTTATATTTTTCATATTCGTCTTTATTCTTCTATGCGTATTTATATCTATTCATATTCATCTATATTCTTCTATGTATATTTTCCTCTATTCGCATTAAAGTACGTATATATTTCTGTTCATACAGGAGGTTCTAGAAGACCCAGTTCCAAACAACACACGGGCCGAGAATGAAGCTTTAAATAGATTGAGAGGTACTTGTAAAATCATTATGTACGTCCTTCATGTCACAGTGTTGAAGTATCAAGTCACTTTTTACTGCCTCAGCCAGTGGAATTTCTTTTCTTAAATCAATCGGTAGGTTTCTACACAAGACATTTGTAGCTGCTGGTTTGATTCATAGCGGAGGTAACATGCATACATGTACATTGACACATCCAAATGACGGCATAATTGCATAGGCAAGGCTTTCCAGATTCTTGCTAAGACATTATATTTACCTTGTATAGGAAACAAAATACTGGACAAAAGAAAAGCAACAATGACTGAAATATTTTACCTCTTAAATGAGGAAATTTAATTGTTTCTTGGTATCTTTTGATGTGAATAAATCAAAATAATTGTTGTTGTTTTTGTTTGTTTTTTATACAAGGGAGTTGTTCACTCTATCTACGTATATTAGTTTTAAATTGTTATTTTAATGTTTGTCCGTTCCTTTAAAGCCCCGATCAGTAACGAGGAGAAAAACCGTGCGAGGGAAGAAAATAACCCACTGTATACTGCCGCTGCCCAGTCGATTATTGCCATGGGTTACACCACGGCTGTGGTCACAAAGTGCATCAACGCCTATATAGCGAGTACTGGTAAGGGGAATGATATTCGGCCAGCTTTATAAATATGAATAATGTGTTATCACTTGGGAAGACAATTAGTACAGTTTTCAGTATTGTATTTGTCTTCCTTGTCGTAATACAAATCAATAATGACGCATTATGTAAACATTAATTCCCTGCTGGTAGAAGCCGATATCACAGTCCAAGGCTTCAAAGATCTAAATTATAGAAAATATTGTGGACTTCCGTTAATCAGAATTTTTTCAATGAGCATACACCAGCTGTGATTATCAGTCGTAGTGTTTATTCAGTAGTATTATTAATATGTTTTATTTACATGTAATCAGCTGAAAAAAGTGTGTAAGTTTAGTTAAATCTTCTGCCACCTCTTTTGGAGAAACCATCTTGTATCATCACATATTAACTGCATGTCTTCGGTACAGGCTACAACCAAACTAGATAGATATTTGGTGTATTAAAACGAAATTAGATTGACGTCCGATGAATTGTACTTTTTTTTCTTTTTTTTTAAAAGAGCCTTTTTCAATTCATTAGAACAAAAAACGTTTTATGATGCTGCTTCAAATCGCAAATAAAACCTGTGATTTGAGTATTCAAAGACCTGTTACATTTGGCTCATGAATAAAGATTGAAACATTGACTATTACAAAACAGGTCTAGTACTTGTACTTATTTTGAACATGCCATTCCTGTTTTAAGGTCAAAGGAACTTTGGAGCTACCGACTTAATGGATATAATATTAGACAAAGAGGATGAAGGTGGGAAACTGTCAAGTGACGGAGAAACGGAAGGAAAGGGTGATTATATTTTTTTGCATTTTTAATTTACTAGCTGCCTATACATGTAAACATTAAAGTATCACTAAATATGTATTACATCTCAAAGCCTTCTAATATCATGAAATATTCGTTTGAAATTTCTGTCATAGTTTTGCGTTTAATAAATATATATCGCTGATACAAAATTTTAATCAAACACAATTATCAAATATTCAATCTATACAATTAATTTATCAAATTGTGACCAGTAAAATATCAGGAATCATCAATTTGATAAAAACTTATACGAAATAATATATTTTCACCTGTGTCCAGTCAGAATAGTACTTTACTGTGTAGATTTTCAGCTTCGTGTTCAGATGAAGCTACAGGAGAAAAGATGGATGTTTTGGTACACCTTAGTAATATACATTATGTTAATAACATAACTACACAATTTGTTATTTTATAAAATTTGTTCGGATTTCTTATAAGATAATAGAAGCTCTATATAGCTCATGTAGTACAACTTACAATACCAATACAAATATGAAACTTCAAAATTTAATTTAAACCAAAATTCCATATTATAAAGTATTTACTCGCAACACAGCTTTGGCCACTGGCTAGTTCGTGCTTATCTGGATGGTCTATAAATAAGACTGTTACATTATGAATTCATCTAGCACCTGGTGTCAATCCCGGTATAGACTAGTAATGTTGGAAAAATAATTCCGTAGTGAATTCCACTGATTGCAAATCACAGAAATGTTACGAGTGACATATATCAGGGTTTTATAATCTTACGTTTGGCAAGGCAGACCATTTTTAGTACTTTACACAAGGAAAATGTTCTCCGAAAGTTGAATTCCATCTTTTTTGACCAAAGCGATAAAGGCGATTTCACCATATATCATAACACAGCTTAGAAGACATATACTGTAGCATTTCCATTTTGACAGGCAAACTTTTTACTACAAACTATTGGTTGTACCTTAAACGTATTTTTTCATTTCAGAAACTAACGACGACGAGTTCCGATATGGTAAGTAAATATAGAACAAATATTTTGAAAAAAAGTATTATATTCGAATAAAAGGTTAGATTAATTAGGGCAAGTGAGCTAATGAGGTGTCAGAGCGTCCAATGTCCGTCGATCGTTCGTCAACTTTTCCTTTAAACGACTTCTTCTGAAGAATGGAAAAGCTTACACACGAATATGGCATTTAACTACTTCCAAGGCTACAGGATTCAAATATGTCAAAAACTTCAAAGGACTTTTTCTCAAGAACAGGGAGGCCTATAGTCACGATATTTGGCTGGTAGCTTACTGGATTTGAATTAGACAAATTCTGCTAATAAAAATGACATCTGCCTTCTTCCAAGGTCATGGTGTCAAATATTTCAAAAACTTGAAACTACATTTCATGAAGAGCCGAATGGCCAGGAGTCATGATAATTGGCTTGAACAGCATCATGTTATAGAGCGTCACATATTTTGCGAATAAAAGACCTTGACCTTTGATCAAGGGCACAAGGATCAAATATGTTAGAAACATTAAACAAGTTCTTCTAGCGAACGGAAAGATATTTGGCTGGTAGCTTCATGGGGAATATCGAACAAGCTTTGTTATTAAAAATAACATGAACATATATTTGTAGACTGGGTGTATATTTATACTTAA